TTTCTACCTTTTGGCTGTTACGAATAATCTTGCTATGAATGTTTGTCTACAAGTCTTTTGTAGTTATATGTCTCAGTTCTCCTGGATATATACCCTGAAGTGGAATTTCTGCATCATATGGTAACTCTGCTCAACTTTGTGAGGAATTGCCAGACTCTTTTGCAAAGTGGCTGCACCATTTTACATTCCCACCAGTAATGTATGAAGGTTCTAATTTCTCCACATCCTTGCCAACACTTGTTCATCTTTTCCTTTAAAGTCATCCTAGTGGGTGTTCCATGACACCTCATTGTGGTTTTGATTTGCATTTCCTTAATGACTAATGATGTTGAGTGTCTTTTCCTGTGCTTCTTGGCCATTTATTTGTTTATTCAAATCCTTTGCCCATTTTTAAATTGGGTTGTCTTTTTATCATTCAGTCATAAGAATTCCTTATACATTCTGGATACAAGTACCTTGTCAGATATATGATTTGCACATATTTTATTCCATTCTATGGGTGTCTTTTTGCTTTCACGATGGTATTCTTTGAAACACAAAGATTTTTAATTTTGATGAAGTCCAACTTATTTTTTATTTTGTCATTTGAGCTTTTGGTGTTATACCTAAGAAACCATTTCTACCTAAAGGTCCTGAAGATTTACTCCTATGTTTTCTCCTAAACGATTTATAGCTTTAGCTCTTACATTTAGACCTTTGATCCATTTTGAGTTAAGTTTTGTTTATGATGTGAGGTAGGGGTCCAACTTCATTCTTTTGCATGTGGATATCTAGTTGTCCCACCATCAAGTCTTAAAAAGACTGTTCTTTCTCCCTTTGAATGTCTTAGCACTCTGGTTGAAACTCACTTGACCGTAGGTGTAAAGGTTTATTCTTGGACCCTCCACATTCTGTTCTGTTGATCTTCATTGATGTTTTTTTTTTAAGATTTTATTTTTTTCGTTTTTCTCTCCAAAGCCCCCCGGTACATAGTTGTATATTATTCGTTATGGGTCCTTCTAGTTGTGGCATGTGAGACGCTGCCTCAGTGTGGTTTGATGAGCAGTGCCATGTCCACGCCCAGGATTCGAACCAGCGAAACACTGGGCCGCCTGCAGTGGAGCGCGCCAACTAAACCACTCGGCCACGGGGCCAGCCCCTGATTTTTAAGAAGAAAAACCATTCGTGTTGCTTGCTGTCCCCTGTGCCACCACACTAATCTGAACCTTCTCTAATCTGTATTTATTCAGCCTTTTTTGAGTACAGCTGCCAGGTGAATGCTTACAAAGCAGTGCTTTCATCGTGTTGCTGCTGGTAAAGAGTAGTCACTGGCTCTCTACCATTTTTGCCTGTGAACTTTGCTTGCCTTTTGAGGTCCATCAGCTAATCCTGCCCAGGTCTCCGTTTTTAAATTCAAATCCTCTTTTCTATCAGCCCTGTTTCTTTTATTCAGATCGTCATATCCTCATTCCTGTCTTGTGCCTTGATTCTCCACATTCAGTTCCCTTCCTGGTTGGAGTTTTAAGACTTCCTCAGCATGTTTAGAGCCTTTGATAACAAGTTCAGTACATCGGTCTCTTTCAGGTATGGTTTCTTAAAAGAGTCACCTCTGTAAGTGGTTTTGCTACTAATGCAGGACCCAATTCTGGTTAGTTTTTCTTGCGTTTGTTACATTCAAGGTCCCCTGCTTGGCAGCTGCCTTCTTGTTGATATATAACTATTTTACTTATATGTAGCTTTTCTTCATATACGTTGTATATGTTCTTTAAGGGTAGAGACCATGTTATAATCCTTTCACAGGGCTGCATATAAAGTTAATTTTTAGTATATAAGGGTCTGCAATCCTTTAATCAAAACCTTTGGGAGCCAGATGTATTTGGGAAGTCAGATATTTTTTCAGATATTAGAAGGGTATTAAACTGCATATACAGTACTTTTTTACTTAATAACCCCAGCAGGGTCTGGGATAGCACTCTGTAATCAAATACATTTAAATTTTTGCTGTTAAACATATTCTCCAGTGGGGTATAGGGTGGGATCCTGTGTTTAAAGATTACTATTTCTATCACGAAGCGTGAGTATTTGTACTAAAGTGTGATAAATAGACTATAAGTAGTCTCATGGCAGTTCAGGTCAGGTGTGATTTTGCTGCCAAATGAGTTATGTTAAATGTGTTGAATAGAGTTTTGAGTTTCAGAATGGTGGATTGTGGCACTTCACCGATTCTGAATGTACCGTGTAATTGTAGGGTTGGAAAACAGTGTCTCTTCTAGTGTGCACTGCTGTGTGCCAGTTGACTTCCCTCCCTGGGCTCTTCGCTGCAGCCTCTTCTTCCCCACCCATTTGTCCTCTCTATCACTTTCATCATGTCACTCCTCTGTCCCCAAACTTTTGGTGCTTTACCATTTATTGTCCCCGATGTGTTTGTGAGAAGCAGCTCCATATTCTTAAAGTCTCAAAATGATTGCAGAGAGGCTGTGATAGTCATGTATGTGGTGCTGAGCTTGGGAAGAAGGCATTCCCCTTCTTTCTGCACTGACTTCTCTGCAGGGAATACTATGAGGGGGACCATGTGATGTGAAGGGGAACCATGGTGATGGCAGCCAGCCCTTTGGATGGACTACTGATGAGGCTTCCAGGTCTTGGCCTGGAAGAAGTTAAGCATTCTTGGCTTGCAGAGAGGTTTCAGACTCATTCAAGACCTTGTATCATCTGGCTCCAGTCTAACTTTTCAGACTAATAAGTCACCGTTCCTCAGATTTAGATTTTACTTTTTTATATTTTTAAGTTATTTATGTTTTTCTGTCTAAACTTGCCTATTGACCATCCCATGAACAATATATAAATGCTTTTCTGGCTTCATGCCTTTTACCCAACATTTCTCTTAATATGCGACTTTTCTCTTCTTATGTTGTGCATTTAATTTTACATTATCCCATTGGTAGATCTGGCAGTATTCTGAAACCAGAATTGGATTATGACTTATCTAGAAGCCCATGATTTTTGTTTTGTGTTTTAAAATAACTGCTGTCTTTTCATGTGCCCTATGCCTGGTGAAGTTGCCAAAGTGAAGCCACATTAGATAGGCCATATTTATTCTGAGACACACATAGTAAGAACCAGAAATCCTAGAGTGGTGGAGCTGGAAGGAATGTCATGAGTGTAAGGTTTTATAAACCAGGAAACTCAAAGCAGCAAAGCTCCAAAGTGGTCAAGTGTCTTGCCTAAAGGCACATAACTAGATAGTGGTATAACCAGAACTCTAGTTTATGTGTCTTGAAATTTTTTCAACCCTTTGTTCTTTCTGTTCAGTGTTGGAGCTACCATTCTCAGTTGATTTTTTTTCTCTTCTTTTAAGCAAAGTTAATACTCTTTCTGAAAAACCTCTGTCTACCTGGTTTCAACCCACAGGAATGAAAAAAAATCATTTTGCTTCTTAGTACCACCTTGGTAAAAATATTATTTCACAAGATGTAACTGATGAACTTAATGATCAAAAAATGGTCTGTGATTAGAGACTAGATAGCCTGTTTTTGTGCTTTTTAATTTACTAACAACAAACCAATTTAAATTATGTTTTTGGTGTTTAAAGCTTAGTAAGCGTAAAGCTTAGTAAGGACCAAGCTATATCCTGTTCTCCCATATGCATCTCTGACTGGAAGACAAGGTCAGACTACACCATGTATGACTGATGGTCTTAAGTGCCACACTTTGTTTTTCTATGTTAACCTCTTCTATATATTGAATAGGAGCAAGTTGGCTTAAAGAAAGTGATGAGAAAAAATCAGGTGCCAGTTTAAATTTATGAAATTAGAAATTAGGCGTCCTGTTGGAGATTCTTAATTATTGGGGGAAAAGACCTCGGGTAATTATAGACCATCATTAAAACTCGAAGCTTATGGAGCTTTGGCTCTTTTGATGTGAAAGGAGTGCTTTAAATTTTCATGAAACAGTTTATGTTTATCTAGTGGGATACATATTTATAGTTCTCTAAAGATCATGCCTGTCTCTCTTGTCGCTGAGTAAGAGCTGATTAGGGGACCTGTGTTCCCCACACGTCTTAACTGTTCTGCCCGTTAGACTCCACCCATGGCAGAGGGCCAAGCCATATGATCTCTCAGTTGGATGTTAGAGTTTCCTGTTCTTTTCTGTCATTGTATACAGTCATGCGCTGCATAATGACGTTTTGGTCAACGATGGACCTCATATATGACAATGATCCCATAAGATTAGTTCCGTATAGCCTAGGTGTGCAGTAGGCTATACCATCTAGGTTTGTGTAAGTGCACTCTATGATGTTTGCACAATGATGAATTGCCTAACAAGACAGTTCTCAGAATGTATCCCCATTGTTAAGTGACGCAGGACAGTATTTTAGTTTTTGAGTGTGAATCTAATTTAGGTTGTCCTCTGCTCCTTGTTGTGAATGACCCTGAACAAGTTACTTTGCTATCCCGGTCGTTCCTCTGGAAATATGAAGAACTTGAACTGTGAAAGTCCCTTCATTTTCTAAGATTCTATGATTTAACTGAATACTTTTTTTAATTGAATATTTTTTATTTGATGAAGCAAGGAAAAACAGTACTTTGTAAGATCCTATGATTTAGCTAAATACTTTTTTAATTGAATACTTTTTATTGATGTAGCAAGGAATAACAATACTCATAATCAAAAAAGAAAAAAAAATTGCAGCTTTTAACAAGAATCAGAACTTTGGCTTGGGTTTCTAGAACTTGCAGTCAAGTTTTTAGGGGAGTTCTGTGGGTCAAGGAGAATTTAGGATAGATTTGTTCAGCGTTGCCACTTATTTTCTATGTACTTTAGCCTTTGGGAGGATATTTCTGTGTTTATTTTATAGAAGAAAGATGTGAATTTCATCCTGTGCACAACCCCAGACTGGATACTGGGGTCTTTCGGAAACTGTCCTGAGCTCCTTAGGAGAACGTCTGTGTGGCTTGGTTTGGTATCAGATGGCACAGAACTTGCTATCCAGTGTAACTCTTCCTGTTCTATCCTTTCAGCTTGGATTTGCTTTTGGCAACGTGGTTGGAATGTATCTGGCTCAGAACTACGACGTAAGTGACCATATCCACCTCCTCCTTGATTCCATGTAAACTAATTTGTAGTAACTTGTACCTGTTGAAGTAGCGTGCATTCCAGCATAAATGAGGTCCGTAGGTCTGAGGAAAAGGTTCTGAATTTTGCGGAAAGATTTTCCATTGTTTGAAAAAATAATGGAACTCACGGAAGCATCTGTCCTCCATGTCACCACAAGAGGGCAAAACCCCATCCGTCTCGATGGTCTCATGATGATCCTGAACTGCGTTTGTTAGCCCAGAGTAATTATTAAGTTAGAGTTTACAGTTCCGTGGAAAATCATGTGAAGTGAGAATTTAAAGATTAGTTGGATGATCTTTTCAGCCTCCCTACCCAGTAGTAAAGAGGACTAGAACTTTGGAGGTGGACCTATCCAGTGCAGCACATGTGAGGACAGAGTTTTGTGAAGTGGGGAGCTGCAGTAGTTCACTTTATAGATGGGGAAGTTGAAAACCAGGTGACACAATTGCTCAGGAATGGGGATCCTGGAAAGGTAGTTTGTTTTCAAGAGTCAAGGAAGGGAAACCTGATAGTAACTTCTGACTTGTTTTGCAGTGAAGCTTTTAGGGTGACAAAGGGGATTCCCTTTGGGAACCTTCACTTGAGTCATGTGGTTTTCTGGGCAGGGGCTTTATTAATTTGTATCGCATTTGTTATTTATATAACAGCTTTTACTTGGAACTGGATTGAGGGGCTAAATGGGTAAAGTAGAAGTCAGGGTCTGGCTTTCTGGGAGGTAGCATATTTTAACTCACAACTTCTAATATCCTTCTGATGCAGTTGTGAGGCTAAGAAATATCACTATTAAGCAGGCCTCTTTCAGAGGAAAATAAGAAGTTGTACAACCATTCATCTTGGAAGGAAGAAAAGTAAAAGAGTATTGATTAGATAGATGCAAAATTATGATAATCTTTTTTCTCTTTAAAGATACCAAACCTGGCTAAAAAACTTGAAGATATTAAAAAGGACTTGGATGCCAAGAAGAAACCTCCTAGTTCATGAGGCCGACTCCAGTACTGCCTTCTGGATGTACTGATTCTGCTGCTCTTGAGGGCCTCCTTTGCTATCTCAACCAAAAGCTTTTGTTTTCATCTCCAGCCTCAGCGAGTTTCTTCTTTGCTGGACCCTGTGTTGCCTTAGAGCACAAGTGGAGCCGCAGTTAAGAACTACCCTACTTTTCCAGCATCCTCACCTCTGCCCTTCCTCCTTCCAGCCTCTTGGGAGGTCCTAAGACTGGAATTATGGTGCTAGATTAGTAAACATGACCTTTAATTAGTCTCCCCTTATTCTTTGGATCTCTGCTACCTGTTTTCAAAAGAGAAATTGATGAGTTTTATATAGCTGATTAGATATAAATGATGCTGATTTCACAGTTTAGCAAGTATAATGGGTGTTTAAACTTTTGGTACTAAATTATGTTGTTTCAAAGTAATTAAAATTAAAATCTAGAAGCCAGTTTCTAGTGAATTATCTATTTTTTTATACTGTTGTCAGGCAGCTCCATAGTTGCTAATTTAACCAGTAAATCGTTTTGCTATGCATTAACCGAGAAACTATATTCTGAGAACCCTGTCAGGAACTGGGGAATTTAAATATACATAAAATGATGGCTTTTGTCCTCAGAAGTCATAGTCTAGTATGCATGTTTTTCCATAATGATGCATTTCATCTGGCTCTCTTCCCTCAAAAGAATCATACTTGTTTTAAGGGATTACAGGTGCATTTGATATTACATGGTGGATACATGAGAAGTTGTCTATAAAGGAAATGTTATGCCTTTTCACATTTAAAGAAATGTATGTACATTATAACTTTAGAGTGATTCTTATAAGAAAACTTTCTTTTTTGTTTTTTTCTGCAGTCAGAAATTACCCTTGTATTTGTCAAACATAGAATCAGTCCATATTTTTTTAATTGGAAAAAAAGGTTTAAATTAACTTTTTCCTCCAGGTCAAGATACAAAAGTGTTTTAAGGGCCCTCCCCCTCCCCGTCCTCCAGTGCTGTCCCCAGTTTCCTGTATACTCTGAGAAAGATTCTGTGCCTAAACAAACACACGTTGCATGGGGGTTTATACAGATAACAAGCTATATACAATGTTTGCCCTTTGCCTTTTTTTAAAATGGAGATCATTCCATATCAGTATGTAAGGAACAAAGAACCTCTTTCCTTTTTTGGCTACATAAGGTTCTATTGAATGGATATACCATAATTAATTTACTTTGCTCCTAATGAACATTTAGGTTATTTCCTTTCTTTTGCTTTTACAGTGATAACCTTGAACATAATGTTATTATGCATATCTGGGCGGGGTATAGCTATAAGCTAAAGTCCTAAAAGTGTAATTTCCACTAAATATAGATAAAGTCCCACTTCAGTGGGTGTTTTGTTTCAGAAGGCTTTTTGGGCAGCTTCACTGGTAATGCCATTTCTGAAGACACTTTAGCAGAAACAGTAACCTGGAAGAATTAGTTAGAGACACCTTTTTTCAGACAGTGATGACACTAATGCTATATGTGATTATAAAATAAAGTGATTCTGCGTCTCTTTGAAAACATGGATCTCTCATATATGGAGATAACTTTTATCCCTATCAGGGCATCCTGGGTGTGAGATAGATTAAGATCATAGTATGGTTTGGCTTCTCTCTAGCAGTGTGATCATAGAAAAGCAGCTTATTTTTCTGAAACTGTTGTATTCTCTGTAAGATGTGGATGCAATACCTACCTCATAGGGCTTCCATGAGACACAGTTAAGATAATGTATGTGATGTGTTGCACAGTGCTTTGCAAATTGTCCAATAAATAGTAGATATTAGTCCAATCATGCTGCTTTTGGTCAGAATACTTTTGTTTTTCTGCAGTTACTTTTGGAACCAGGGTATGAACCATGCAAAATTTGTCATCATTCTGTGGTCTCTCTCTTGGTTGTTGAAAATCTATAGTATCCACCTTGATCATACTACCTGGCTCACAAGGTTTGATCATGCATGACTGAATTGTTATGAGAATGAACTACAGCATTAAAGGATAAGGCTTACCATCCTTGAGGGTGTTCAAAATGCCCCAGGCTTAGACATCTGTTTCCACAGAGGGATTCCTTGTTATCAGCCATGGTAGGATTGTTATTTGTGTATGTGATCTCCCAGAGTGGTTGCTTTAGGGATGAAGTTCACTTGGATGTTATAAGATTACGTCTCTATGTATTATATCTTGTAAACAAAGCTCATTTGAATTTAGGGCTTCCCTCAAGGGTGACACTCAACCTTGCTGATAGGATCATTTCTACCAGCGGGAGCCATCCAGCAAATCAGTCTTTGCATTCACCTTCACCGTGTAAACTGCTACACAGTGAATACAGGCTGACTTAGTGGTCACCATTCAGATACCCTCTCATAGTTTTAGGTTCTTGCAGCAGTGACAGGGAGCTCAGAGTTCTCAGGCAAGGTTATCTTCACTGAGATAAATGTTGGAGGAACCCAGAACATCGTAGATTGTAGGGTGTAGTTTCAAGTTCGTAATGCGGATAGGGGTTGTGATCATTATCCTGACACTGAAAGTTCCCTGGGGGCTTTGTAAGGACACTTAACCTCACAAATCAGTTGAGGGATGGGAAGAACCACTGCAAGACATGTGGTTTTTTTTTCCTTTAAAAAATGTTTGAAAACTCCTATTGATATGATTTAAGAACTTTTTTGCACCCCTGGCTGTAAAAGGAGGATTACATAAAATACTACTGAAGGTTACTCGCGTGTGAAAAATAAGACTTCAGTTGATGTAGGGAACTTAATAAAGGAACTTGAAAGCTTATCTTTAAACTCTCCCCCTCCCAAACAAAAAAACAAAGGGAGAGAAAACCCAAAACAAGCTTAAAATCGCCAAATGGGGCTGTATTTTATGAGTTGAAGTTACCAGTTGATGTCTTTTGACTTCTAATTTGGTGTTTTATGCAATTAAGCAGTTACTTGCTTCTGATTTAGAGGAACAATTTTATTTCCTTTTTTCTAACTCATTTATTCAATTTTCATTTGTGTGACTTTAGAGAAGGTTAAGATGTGTGATTTATCCTGTTGTCTATACTTAGGGGTTCATAGAGCATATGTCCACATGCCCCATGTTTTCATTTCCACTAAGCAGTTTACTCCCTAGATACTATGCTGGTGTTTGTTTTTCTGCTGAAGTTTCCCACATTTTTAATGCTTTTTCTGTTATTTCTCCTGAAGGAACACTGTATACTGTACTGTAGTAAATGGGGCTATTCTGAAACTTCTCATCTTGGACTTTGCACGTAGTATTTCCATTCCTTATGCAGATGAATGAGTTCTTTTTTCCCTACTGACCATTAGGGCCTTGCCTTGTGGAAAGGAACAAGGTGGTGAAGGGAAAGTATTTTTGAGACCTTGCCTGGTCTCATTAGGGAGTTTGTGACAGACACTTAGATTTTCAAATGTTCAGTTTATACCTTTCCTAAATCTAGATGCAGCTTATTTAGTCAAGTACTGAAGATCTAATGGATGGCATGTTTTACAAGGCACTGGGAAAGAAACAAGACCAGAACAGTGAGGTTTTGTGGGAGGTACTCAGGGCAGGGCGTTGCAAAACCTGAGTCCTAAGCCTGCTCGAATCGTTGTCTGTGCGGTAAGACCTTATGAAAGGTGCAGTGTGGTTGCATCATTCTTACATGTACAGTTGTCCAGGATTGGGACAAGAAAAGGGGCCATGTAAATAGTGTGGGCCATTGTGCTCAGCATGGATTCAGTGAGGGCAGCCCCAGAACGAGCCACCTGTGCTCACGGGTGGTCTCTGTTCCCTTTGTGTACTCATGGTTCCTGCAATCTTGTTATACTGAGAATGATTCTAGTGTTTAAACCTTTTCAAACATGATCCCTAAATGTGAAGCCAACTAGTTTATTTGGTGTTCAGCTGAAGAAAGAGGGATCTATTCTGACATTGAAGAGAAAACTAGCTATTTTTTGTTTATTAAAAGATGGCACATGAGTCTTTGGGCCACGTAAATGCTAATATGAAAGATTGTATACCGGGTACTTCATGAGTGACTTAAGGGAATTTCAGAGGCAGCTTTGACTAAGCAAATTTGATTTATAATTGACTTGAGAATAAGATGCAACTAAGTGTCTTTATTTCGTAGTTTCCTTGTCTGTCAAATCAGCCAGTATAAGATGATCATTTTCAGCTTTTCCATCCATAACGTGTTAATGATCTTAGCAGATAAAAATCAAGTCATAAATTTGCAAGAGACACAAGACTACTAAGGAGAACTATTAGTTATTGTCCAACCGTGGGGTGATTTTAGGTGACAAGGAGTTGTTACTCATAGCTGACATTTCCTGTCATTGGAATGAGCAATGAAAGGCCTGAATCTCAGGTTTTGGGAAGGAACAGTCCTGCTGTTTAGAGTGGTCAGTAGACCAGACCGAAATAGATGCTCTTTCTCAATCGGCCGGTTGAGTGCATTAGCCACTTGGAGCGCCTGGCAGCAACTGTGGTGGGGAGCTGCACCGCTTTCCCTTGAGGAGTGAGTCAGCTTCTCAAGTAGCTGAACAGTGGCCAATAATTCTGAGTCAGCTTAATTCAAAGTCAACTTTTCTTTCTCTTTTTACTTATTTATACTCCCAGAATCTTATTATCTGCACCTTTGTCGTATTGTCTGACTCAGAGCTTAATGTCTAAGTTCTGTAGCAGGACAGACATTTAACCATTTGGCTACCCCGACAATAGGAGTAACATCCTGACCCTTCTGAACATTTTAAAGCAAAATAACTGTATAGATGCTGGCTTAATCAAACCAGCTGTTGTGTACCTAATATTGGTATTTCATTTGGGCCCAGTAGGTCTTCGCTTTTCTAGTGGTCGAATAATCTGGCCTAAGCCAGTTGACAGGGCAGAAGCAGTAATATTCCTGGTTAAACCTGGTCAGTCACATGCTGAGATGGGAGCGTGCAAGTGTTAACTGGCACAAAAGAAACTTTACAACTCACAGGTACTTGATCAACTAAGGGAGTGATTTTTATTGATCAATTATTGCTGTGGGAAAACTGCACATGCTGTCAGTAGTAACTTAAAATAATTAAAACAGTATAATGACTATGGGGTGCTCCTTTTCCCATAAGATGTGTTTAGCAAGTAACTGATGGTAGAAATTGGAAATACGTAATGCTCGAAAACTGGGGGGATTGGGAGCTATATCCAGTCAGAGAGCAAGGAGTCTGTCATGGAGAAAATGGCATGGTCTTCAGGAGGAAGAAGGAGGCCTTCATTCCAAAGTGATTCTTCTCAAGGGAGCCGCTTACTGAGCAGTTACAGTTTACTGTATTGCACAAGTTGCTGGGGGCTTTAAGAGACATAAGACATCTCCCCTTCCCTCGAGGGGCTCGTCAGCATGTAGAAAGTGACTGATGTGTTGGACTCTTCTGTACGTGTCCTCTCAGGAATGAACTACTCATTACATCCAGAAGAAAGCCAGCCAAATATCATTAATAGTGCTGTGGTTTAATTATCGTTTTGGCCTCCTTAACAAGACAGATATGAAAGTTTTTTCTCCCTCTCAGCACTTAACCAATGCAGCAGTATTGATGGTTAGTGATGAGTGAAGAGAGAGATACTAATCCCAACGTGTCCTCTCTCTCTGCTTCCTTTTCCTTTCACAAAAAGAACAGCACCAGCCTCTTCTAAAGAGAACACTATTTCTTTACAGGAATTTGGTGCCAAGGTAAAGAGAAGCCATTGAGAAGAGACGCTTAAAAGGGAATGAGATAGTGATAGTGATAAAAGAGTACTGACTGCCGCAAAGAGGACCTACTAAGAATTACCTTTTTGTGGAGAGAACTTAGGATAGAAACACTTAAGAGAGAGTAGCTGGCATTAGGTCTCAAGTTCTGGGTGAGATTTTTCCCCTGAAAGATGTCACTGGTTTCACTCTCTGTGCATAGGTAGGATGGTTTGGATTTCTCCTTCAGCTCCTAAAAAGGGATGAAGTTAAGAACAACATAAAACCTAGTGAGGATAGCCAGTTTGTGAGGCTTAGCCTCTGAGGGGCAACTGAGACATCCTGTCATCAGAAAGAAGTGATTGGAGAGACTAGATACAAGGAAGTGAGAAAGAGTGCACGTTTTCTGGAGCTCTGGTACTAAGGATGGAGGGCAGAGAAGAAGACACATCCAAGCATGTGTTTTTGGTTGTTGGAGGCTTCCTGTGCTTCACTTTTGGTGGTAGACAATGGAATCTTCTGGTGGGGGTTGTGTGCTCCTGGCGGTTTTCTTGGCCTGTTGGTCAGATTCTGCTGGGTGCTGGCAGCTCCTTTGATTGGGCTGTTTGCCCACTTGTGTTAGGCCTGATCAGTGATGTTACTAACCTTAGCCCAGGCTGGATAAGTATCCAGGTGGAAGAGGCTAATTCCCCATGTATTGATGGCCACCATCACTATCACCAGGCCAATGACATTGACTCCCAGGCCAGCTTTCACCTGCAGGACACAAATCAGCACACCCTAGTCACTCTGAGCAGGCAGCAGCACAGATCCCCAAGGGCTCCCTATCCATGCCCCCCAGCTAAGCCTTGCCCCTGATGTGATCACAACCCACCCACGTGGCCCTCATTTGTTCCAGTCACTGCCTGGGGTGCTCTAGTGTTGCCTCGTAGGGTAGCACAGGATTGTGGAAGGATGGAAAAGGCAGGGAATGTTTGGGGCTGGGAGAGGGCTATTAGCCTCCACCTCTACTTGCAGCATTCCCACTATGTAGTGGAGGCCTAGAAGGTATATAATTGGAAGACCACATCTCGGAATGTGAGTTACAGTGAAAAAGGGTGCTGCAGCTACGTGATAGGGAAATGTGTTAAAAAAATTAACCAAATCTCTTTAAAGCAGGAATGCCTCAACGTTTAAGGTGCTGACACATATGGGGGACTTGTAGGAGGGGCTGTATTCTATGAAGCCTTTGCCACTGTTACATTTTCTTTTTTCCCAAAGAAGCGCTCACGGAAGTAGTGTACCTTGGGTTAACCCGTGGAAAGAGGTCAGCTGCCTCTGCTCAGCCCTTCCACGGGAAGGTGACACAGTGTGCTAGCTTTGCCTCCTTCTTCTGAGAGAATGCCACCTCAGCGACTCTGACCCCTTCATTTCTGCCATGGCATTGACACTCCCAGGCTGAGGGGGGATGTGAGGGATGACGGATAACAGGCCAGGGCCAGATGGAAAAATCTACAGTAAGGATGGCTTGCATCCTACCAAGGAGAAACCAAGCATACAGTGTGTAGCAAAAACAAGTCCACTAGTTGGCATTCAGTTGGGCAAGTTGCAAGGGAAAAGCAAATGCTAGGAAATTCTTCCAAGCAAATGACTACATGTGTTGCCTCTCTGCTTTCTGGCCTGAGCCCTGGACTTATTAATCATCCTGGCCCCCTGGGCCTTTTGGCATGGAGAACCGTCCATGTTTCCTCACAGGTGAGAGGGGACAGGTTCTAAAAGAGCTAAATTAAGCTTTCTTAGAGTGGAAGGGGACCACATAGGGCATCTAGTGTGAACCTCCTCATTTAGCAGATGAGGAAATTGAAGTCTCAGATCAGTGCCTAGGCTGGGAATAGAACCCAGAGCTGGCTCACTTCTTGTCATCGGTACCTTTGAAAATTGCTGCTTCTGATCACTTGCTTCCAGGGTAGAAGGCTGAGGGTGAATGGTGGGGGCACACAGCAGAGGAAGTGGGGGGCAAGAGAGTTGGGGCAGAGCTCAGTATGAGCAGGCTGAGGGTTGTACAGTACGATATGAGGGGGAGAGAGGAGTGGCTGTGACCGCCCTTCCCTGGAGTATTACAGATGACTTGGCTGAGCAGTTTGAATGGTAGAAAGGACCTGAATATTTGAGACTCCCTATAGCTCTTTCTTCCTTTCCTCCATTTGATACTTACAGAGCAGCTGATAACGAGTTTGGACTCTAGTGGAAAAAAAAATGTGTAAGACCCTCAGCAAGGGTGAATGGGCCCTATTTTCAGACAGTTGGGCCCCAGTAGTTTGTGTTAGTTTTTTTCATCCTTCCCCCACCCCAGCAGCCCTGGATATTAAGCATAGCTGTGAGTATAGGTTAAGGAGTGGAGGGTGGATATGCCCAACACTAAAATCAGCAGCAAGATGTCTCCTCACAGCCATCTTTTGTGAGCCCAGCTGGAAAGTAAGGAATGAGCTGTGGATGCTTCATTTTGCATTGTTGCTTCAGGGGCTTCTTGCTTGGGGAGAGAGCTGAACAGAAGCACCCTGTTCTCACAAAATGCCTGTCACCCTAGGTTCCTACACTTTCTCATACTTCACCTTCTATGAATAAACCGGCAACTCTGAATGAATATCCCCACTGGTCCAGTAGAGAAACTGAGGCAAAGACTTGTGTAAGCTCACCCCTCCTGGAACTAGGCCACATCCTGTGTCTGTTCCAGCTCTTTCTGTCCATGTACCCACTTTCTACCAGATAAGGGTTGGGGAGAGCACATTATTGCTATTCTTGGTGCTTATAGACCAACCAAAAACCTTTTACCAGTACCATTCTTTCTGCCACACCAGATTGAGTGTTTCAACGAACCAAGGATACTGCTATAAAATAATAAACTTTAGGAGAAGGCTGTGGAGCCAGTCATCCCTGTCCTCATGACAGCTGGGCCTGGCAGGAAGAGGGCACCCATGACTCACCATATCTTTGATCTGGCAGTGCCCATAGCTGAAGACGATGGCGTTGGGGGGATTGCCCACAGGCAGCATCACTGCAAAGGAGATGCACATGGTGACTGGGATCAGGGTGTAGAGTGGATTAATGTGCAGCGTTTCGGACTAGGAGAAGAGAGAATTCACAGAAACATTAGCTTTGACATTAGCCTTGGCATTTCCTGTTCTTATCACAAACATGCTTTAAGTGATGGCTTGGTGTTGGCTAACCTTGGCCAGACACCATGTGCTAGGGTAGTTAAATCACTGCTCTCAAGGGCATGCAGTGCTGGCCAACCCAATGGGCTCATGCTGCTCACTCACTTCCCGTGGAAACATGGGTTAAGAGTTACTTCCTAGAAGGGATGTTTCAATTCTGGGTGCTGATCTAATTTTATTTAGTTGAGAAATTATTTCTTCAAACTCAAATCTCATGAGTAAGCTGCTTTGATTGAAGTAGGGATATCTCACCCTTGGGGTGCAGAACTAAGGATTTTTTTTCTAGCTAAGATGCTTGCTTTGTATGGCATTTGAAACCATGGTCTTGCCCTCAGTGTTGCTGGGTTTTAACTAAGTGCACTCCCATGCTCATACAAACAACATGATGGAAGGGAGAAGTTGGAGGGGGACATCTGAGCAATCAGCAAAGAGTAAGGCTGGGGGCAGTTTGGTGTTAGAAAGAGGAGGAGGTTGTATTTTGCTGGGGAGGGTCATTTCACAGGTCCCACCTCACAGAATGGGACGCTTGCAGTGTTGTGTCTGGTGCATTCCCTTTGGAGCTGCTTAGCCAGCCTAAGATCTGGCAGTTGCTCCGCTCCCCTGTTCCATTAATGAGAAATAGTTCTGAGACCGTGGAATGAGGCTGGCCTTGCTCACAATTCTCCAAACCTCCTGCACAGAGAAATTGGGTGGAAGTGGTGAGGATAGTTAGAGCTTAGCCTTGGTCTTCATAGCTATGTGTATTTCTGGGAGCATTTTTGCCTCCACTTTCTGTAGTTTTCTGGGTCTACTGTTAGATCTTATCTCAGGAGAGAAAGGTTGATAATGATTGTGGGGAATTGGAATCCTAGGGTTTTAAGGTTATTTTGTCTATTCTCTTATTTTCACTCAGGGCTGCCCCTAAACTAATCCTAGTGTTTTGGAAAGGGTTTCCAGAACTCTTGCTCTGATTTATTAATTTATCTATTTTACTTCTCCGTTGCTATTTGAAAAGCTTCATTTTAAAAACTATGACTTGAACACCAATCACTGAAGGCCGTGGCAGTGACCAGAGGAGAGAGTACAGCCATGGAACTGTTCTCTGCCACCTCAGGCCCATGGGGCAGCCCATCTGGACATCTGAGAGCCCTGTTCTACTTACCAGGCTGCACAGGATGGGCAAGAAGATGGTGATGGTGGCTGGGTTGCTCACAAACTCTGTGACAATGGACACGAGAATGCATGCCAGCAGGGTGACAGCCCATGGTGGGAGGCTGCTCAGGGACAACATCTGGTGCCCAATCCATGTGGAAAGGCCTGAGCTCTGCAGGAAGACAAGGTGATACAGTTAGAAGAAAGGAGAACAAGCACATTACACTGGAATTCTTAGACTCCTGAAGGTCAGGGATGCTGGGGGACTGGAAGGGACCACCAGGAGTCATCTAATTTGCCTCCCTATTTTCAGGCAGACTGGACCCAGCAGCATTCCTGATTGGTATGATTAGAACGCTTTTGTAGCCTGGAAAATTCTTTTTTATGAGTGTACAACATTCAGTCTTAGGTTTCCTGGTCAGTCTCACGGGGCATGGAGAGCCACCCATGCTAACTACCATGATTCTTCTCAGGACTTTGCCGTGATGGCTTGGCAGGGATTGGAGATCTGTGGGGCCGTCAGGCCCTCAACTTCAATCTCAGTACTCTTTCTCCAGCCCCTGACACCCTCACTCTGTGCATCCAATCAACAGTGCCCTTTACCCACACTACCAAGCGTGGTCCTTAATTGTGCTTTCAAAATCAATTTCTCTTATTTTATCACCCAAGAAAGGGGGAAAGTTCACAACATCTTTGGATGGTAACCTTTCTAGTGGTTTTGAGGGGATGAGTGGGCAGGGCTGAACATTAGAAGTTTTCCCGAGTCATGAAAGAGAGAGGGGTTATAAGTCTATCCCTGTTTAGTGGGGAAGGTGCTGGCTGCATCGCTGGCCCGTAAGCGTAGTCACTCAGCCCCAATCTGTTTTAGTTTCAAATCCCATCATGGCTGACATCAGGATCTACAATCTGCTAGTGCTTTTTGCGACACAATATGTGAAGGCATATTGCTACTCTTGAACCTTTTCCGTTAGCAACATTAGAATAATGTTAGAATTGAATAATTCATTTGGCTGGAAGCTGTTCATCTGTGCAGTGTGAGGGCTCTGCCCCTCCCCTAAAAAATGAAGGGCACCATTGAGTTTTTGTACTCAAAACTCCAGGTTGCTGTATGCATTTTCCTGCCCTCCCACCTCTCCCTTCTGTGGTTGACATGCTCTAACTTTTCCTATTTACCTTAGAGACAGCAACTGTAATAAAGAAATGGTGAGAAGGGGAGAAAGCAAGGTCAGACATTTTATGATTCGTCAAGCTGTAAGTCCTACTCATGTTTTACTATTAAAGACAGCCTCAGTACATTGCCAGCAGGGTACCTTTTCTCCTCTTTTCTAAATCCATCAAAAGCTCATTTGACCTCCACAGCACCCTGGCCACCTAATAGACAACTATGACCAAAGGCCTTCAGAATTCTCTCTGTTGTATCCATTTTTACCTTGGAGCACTCTCTTTTTTCTCTCAACTTGAGAGCTGCAAATCCAGTACTTGGGGACTCTATCAATTAACGGTTGGTACAAAACCTCAAGGCCTACAGGGACTCCGTAATTGTTATCTCTTGTAACACGTTACACCTTGCTCATTGGACAAAGACCGGGGAGGAAGAGCAATTAGCTGAGTCGAAAAATTACACTTTATAAAGAAATGGAATTTTATTTATCATGTTATCCAAATAATATTCAAAGTAAAATAATTTAATGACAGTATTTTTCAGTAGAACTGTTTTATAAATTGATAAATTAGACTGCAAAGTTAGAAAGAAATACAACAAAGGAAGTCTTAATTTTTTAAAACCTTGGTATGAAAACATTTTACATTGATTTTTCCTCACTAATGTTAAGACTCTGAAATTATTTCAAACTCAGTAGGAATCACATATATTATACCTGAATTATATTATTAAAATTAGTAGAGTCAGCAGGTTTTACAGAAATATCAACTATACTGTCTGTAATACACGCACAATTTTGGTTAAAAAAAAAAGATCTTTCTAGGCTAGACTCAGGGGCCAAAACTAACAACTGAAATTCAGTAAAGATACATATGATATCCTGAATCTGGAATTAGAAATACTTCCAGCACATATACAGGATTAGTTTTAGGACTTGCGGTTTATTAGTTGCTAACAATTAAAAGAATGAAGGGTTTTAGTTGACTGCAATTTCAACATAAATGTTGACGTGAATGCCAATGAAGCCTTGTAAAAGCTTCCATAAAAATCCCGATGGTGCTTAGATCAGAGGTGAGAGATGGGGCCTGGGTAATAGAACTACTTTGCTTGCAGTAAACTGACCGCCTCTGGGCCATATTTGAATACGGCCAAAGGCAAACTAGTGATTCCTGAGGAGAGAACCAGCATGGTAAGGGGTCACTACTTCTGTGAGGAATGGTTAAAGGAACTAGGGAGTTTTACTTGGAAAAAAATCCCCTGAGGGGATCTAATGAGTCTTTATTATTTTAGTAACTAAGACCTAAGACAGGGTTCCAGAGAACAGAGCAAGAGCCAATGGTGGAAGACATTCAGAAGACCCAAGGTGAAAGTAAAGAACAACTATTCTTTGTTTCCGGCTCAGGGAGTCTCTGTCACTGGTGGTGTTCAAGCCAGGAGCATCATGGAGGGAAATCTCACATTGGGTAGGAGATGGGACTCAGTGTCCTCCAAGGTTCCTTCCATGTGTAGGATTCTGTGACCTTTTTTTTTTTTCCTGCTTTATCTCCCCAAACCCCCTGTACACAGTTGTATGTCTTAGTTGCTGGTCCTTCTAGTTGTGGGATGTGGGACACCGCCTCAACGTGGCCTGATGAGCGGTGCCATGTCCGTGCCCTGGATCCGAACCCTGGGCCGCCGCAGCGGAGTGCGCGAACTTAACCACTCGGCCACGGAGCCGGCCCCCATAACCTTTTTATTAATGGTGCAGATAGCATTTAGGCCCTCACTGAAGGGGCAATCAAAGTTTAGAGCCAAGATTAGAATGGGGTAATGTATATAGAGAAGGTGGAGGGAGAAACAAGTGGGAACCTTAACCTGATTCATTCTTAGGGTCATTCTCTATTTCAAGAAGGGCTAACACGTTAAGAAATTCAACTATCTCCTACCAGGCCCCCTTAAAATATTTCACTTCAAATCCTCCCAATCAGGAAATCAAGAAGTATTTACATCAGCTTTAGCATAGATTCTCCAAAGGGGCTCAGTATATGCTTATGGACTGACTGAGGGACAATTTGCTGTGTCACTTGGGGCATCTCTGGGCCCTTACAGACACTATCTTCTATCACCTATCCCCACTGTTAAATCCCCAGAAGAAGATGGCTGCAAATCCGATAAACCTTCTGCTTAGGGCAGTGTGGGCCTGTAAATGAGATGTGAATGCCCGTGTGACTCCGTGGCACAGCTGATCTGAAATTCTCTATTCCCAACAGCGTTAGCTTAGAAGCTGAGGGTGGGACAGGGTACCTGTTCCTGGCTGTACTGCTTCCCTTCCCAGTGACCTGGGTGAACATTTCCCTCTCCCTCACATCCTTTGAATCTTCTCTCCCAGAACCATAATGACTTGCTAGGTAAAGCTGCTGGAAACATATCTGGCCCAATAAGAACAGAATTCAAGGGTTACCTTGCTGCCAGAAGCCAGGGCATAGCCTCCTCCCACCAGAATGACGATCTCCCAGGGCATGGTCTTCTGGAAGTCCTTCCACGTGATGATGGGCTCCGTCCCCAGTGAGGGCTGCTGGTTCTCCCCTGGATCACAGACAGAGGTACAGCCCCATAAACCCTGATGGGTGGGATTTGTGGAGACGGGGGCCTAACTGATGATCTGGATAATTTGGGAGGCTGCTCTGCTATTTGGGGGGGAATCAGAAGGGCCTTGGTCAGGCTCCTTCTGAAAATTCCGACTTGGTGTTTGACTACAGTCAGCCTCAACTTCTTCCCTTGACCTCTTCTCACCATTATTCTTTTTCCCAAAGCAAGGCTTCTTCGCAGGAATCAGGAAGAGGAGAAAGCCAAGGAAGACAGAGACCGTGGCGTCGGTGCGGTAGCCTTTCCTAGCAGAGAGACAAGCAGAGCTGGAGGAGAGGGTTTGGGAAGCCTCAGGGGTAACACGAGGTCTCAGGACAGTCTGAACACAGTGCCTCTTTTTAGGACCTAGTCTAGAGAGGACATCAGCCTTACTTCTTGCCATTGCTGCCATGCTATCCAACTGTGGTTTTAATGGGCAATGGTTAATGTCAGAGCCAGGGCCTGGCTAGGCTAGATGTCTTAGTATGAATTTATGGGCCCATTAGAAGGAGGGATCAGGAGTCACTTAGATAAAAGAGAACAGAAAAGGATGAGCCCTCTTTCCTGTGAGGGTCACATCTCCATGTGTCTTTTCTCAAATGGGAACCTGGTGCTGAGGGAGCTTGTGGGCTGTGGCCTGGCCCTCGGGGGAATACGCAGGGGAGGTACAGGAGGCTGTGTCTGCCTCTCTCTCCGCTGGCTTCACCAATCCACAGCCAGTCTCTTTACAGTTGGTATTTTACTTTATAGACATTTTCTCCTTTAACTTTCATAACAACCTGTGAGTTAACTGAGGTTCCAAGAGCTTAAGGAACCGGACCAAGGTCACATGGCTGGTAAGTGCAGCACCAGATGCCAACCCCAGACTCAGACTCCAAAGACTGTTTTTCTTCCTGACTCCACACTGCAGCTTCCCTTAAAAAAGGGGACTTTCCAGGGAACAAAGTGCTTCCCGGGTTCCTGACTGCCCCTAAGAGTCTAGGAGGGGAAACCAGTGGGAACTGCCTGAAGAGTTTGGGTGAGGGGGTTGTTCTTAAGGAGGAGACAGTATCACTTACTTTTCAAAGAAAGAATCCCAGCCGGGAACAAAGCCAGGCTCCCGGGTAAACCACAGCACCGTCATCAGGATGAAGAAAAAGCCAGTCACCATTTCAGGGTAGCTATAGAATGACACAGAAAGACCCGTTCCAGGAACTGGGGAATTTTTGTTAATGTTTTCACTTTGCTCGGGATACTCCTGTGTTCAGAGCTCCAAGACTGGTTAACTGTTGCACCCCCCTGAACGGACGACTGTGAAGTGGGAAGAGGGCTGAGATGATGCCAGAAAATGCGACACTAACCACGTTCACCAGAGAAATTTAGGTGGGAAGGGAGCGATAACACAGCACCATACATTTATAAAATAAAATACAGCCTGCAGGGGGAATGCGGTGAAATGAGCCCCTCAAACACTGCTGGTGGGGGTAGGAATTGCTACAACCTTTTTGAGGTAATTTGACGATACACATCACAAGCCTTACATTCAGTCATTCCTTTCAATAAGAAAATTACCAGCAATGCATATTGAAACATTACCTATTAAAAAATTACACATTAAAAAGTAGAAACAACCCTACATATCCAATGATATTCCATAAGATTAATACATTTTGGTATAACTATATGTTAATATGAGATGCATCTAATAATCATGCTTCCACAGCAGAATTAAGGACCAGGGAACATAATGACAGTATAATATTAAGTGAAAAAAGGCAAGATATAAAACCGTGTTCAGTATGGACTGAATTTTACCAAAAATACATACAATTTTGCACAAAAAAGCGTGGAAGGAAACGTACATCTTGTTAGTTGTTAACACTGGGATGCTAGGAATACAACTCAATTTTAATTTTTTCTTTATATTTTCCTGTATTTTCTTAATGTTCTACAGTGAACATGTATTCCTTTTATAAATTAAAGTTTTAAAAAATACAGCTTATACCTGAATCCTATTACCCAAAGTTGTACATGCCAATTGCCATAAAAAGAGAAACAGCCCTAATATAGGATGCTGGGTCGCTGTGGGAAAGCTGATGGTTGTGGCTGAGGGTTGGTGAGTGATTTCTCAGACACTCTGTCTTCAAGTCTTATATGATGCTGCCTGATGCTCTAAATGCAGTACAAAGTGCCCGGCTCCCTAGGAGTGGCCACTGGACCGTGCGGTGGCCCATTGTGAGCAATGTGGGGAGTGCTGACTTTAGAGAGCATTCAGCCTGTCCCAAGAGAGTGGCTGTGCTGTCCTGCATTGTTCTTTCTCCAGCTGCCTCATCTGTGACATTCTAGCCCCATGCCATGGCTATACCTTGGACTTGGAATATAGCAAAGGGAATAGGCTGATCTGGAATCAGCCAGCTGGACTTTGGCATTAAATAGCTTCTCTAAATGCCTGGAATCATAGTTGTGGGACAGCTGAAGGCACTCTAGAGAACAAAGCTGCTTCTGTGCTCACTCTCCCTGCCCTGCTTTCTCTCCTGGGGAAGGAGAGAGGTGAATGGCTGATTTTTACCTAATGGCTCCCAGCTTTTCATATTCCTCTTGGATCCTCTTCTCTGACAACTCTTCTCTTTTGGTCTTCTTCTTCTTGCTCAGAGAGCAGGTCTCTTTAAAACTGAGAGGGGAGAATGAGCAAAAGAGTAAAGAAAACACGCTTCTGAGGCCCAGAGGAGATCAGGCATTAGGCAAATACTAAAGCACTGGCTTGCTGTGGGCACTTTTCTTCTCTTCACTCAAGCTCTGCCCCTCCAACCCCACCTAACATACGACTTTTATTTCCCAAGTTGTACAGCCTCTCATCTGCCCTCTCCCCTAGCTTTTCAGGCATATCCCTGTGGTATATCAATGTGAAGTTACATCTTACGGACTTGTGCAAGTATATTTATGGGGGGTTGTTTCTACAAACTTGTCTTTTACATAATTGAGAATCAATGTGATGTGGCATATGGGTATAGATGTTTATATATTTGTGTGTTGCACACACACATGTGTGTTTGTTTATCTGTCTAGGGACAAGGCTTATCTGGGGTGAAAGTGGGCGCTGAGTTTCTATTAGCATCACTGGAAGTATAGAAATATCCAGCTATCATTGAATTGACAACAGTCTCTGAGTTATTAAAAAAAAAAAAGTAAGCTCAGACAACATTCCCTAACCAATGGGAGTGTTGGGTTCCACGGACTAACAGCAAAACATTGTATATGTCTTCCCTTTGAGTGTCTGAAGCTGATCAACTTTGGAGTAGTTATTGGTTGTGAAGAAAAGGCTTGCTAAGCAGATTAGTATTAGAAATAATAGCGCAAGAGGAATGTCTAACTTCATTTTGAGGGACATAAGCATATTCCATACAATTACTAAGTATAAATCACTCATGTCTATAAAATTTAGCCTAAGGCAACTTCTACTTGGAGTCATATTTCTTTAGAAGTTAATTCAAATTATTCTATGCTTTCAGAGAAATGAAACTACATTAAACACTCTCCAATTCAGACTTTTTATAAATCGGATAGTTCCTCTAACCAGTTAGCTGTAATTAAGAACATTTCATTGTAGAGCTTATCACTATAAGTCCGTGTAGGTTTGGAGTGTCTAGAACAGACAATGCCTGACTCCCTGTGCAGACCACTGCGTTCTCTTCAGAGCATCCTCAATGGTTACTCAGCAGCTCCCCCTTGAGTGGTGCCCTCCAGGGCTTGTGTCATGGCCTTGGACAGACAGGGGAACCTCAGTGCCTTGCTGGCAGGGCCCTGGGACTCACTTGCAGCCCAGGAACAGCCAGTGCATCCAGAACCAGCTGACCACCAGCATGATGAGGGAGATGGGAAAGCTGAAGAGGAACCAGGTGCCGAAGTTGACCACCTCTGCAGCTGGATACTGGCTAAAGGGGAAAGAACCAGGTCAGTGATTAGAAAAGGGTGAATTTCCATGTGGTGTTTTGGGGATAAAAAGTTAAATGCTCCTTAAGAAGACATACAGCAGAGCTAACGGTAGAGACAGTGATAACAATATGGTGAAACATTAGCTAGAACTCACGTTTTTGATAGGTGCAACTGTACAGAACCCAGCCAAGAATTATGAAGTAAGCTAAAAAAGGCATCTAATATCATTGAACTGTGTATAGTTTGCACTCAGGAGAATCACTCGGGGTCTGTTTGCTCTTAATTTACGTAAAGATGGTGGTTAGGTTTACTCATCTGGTTTTCAAGACAGTAGACAATAGAGAGGGCAGTCTGGTATACATTGTTTCTAAAGTCACTGAAGGAATTTGAGTTTGTTTTTTTTTTAAAGATTTTCTTTTTTCCTTTTTCTCCCCAAAGCCCCCCGGTACATAGTTGTGTATTCTTCGTTGTGGGTCCTTCTAGTTGTGGCATGTGGGACGCTGCCTCAGCGTGGTTTGATGAGCAGTGCCATGTCCGCGCCCAGGATTCGAACCAACGAAACACTGGGCCGCTTGCAGTGGAGCGCGCCAACTTAACCACTTGGCCACAGGGCCAGCCCCATGGAATTTGAGTTTTGACTGGAGGAAAAAGGGTGCCAATTCTGGAGAACTTTGAACTCTAGAGCCTCATGAAGGTTCCAGGTGTTGACTGTGTCCATATGAGAACCATGACTTGGAATCTCCACATCTTTTGTCAACATCCGCTTCTGTCTTAGGGTGCCAGGGAAGTTGCTCAAAGGACGCCTCATTCATCATCAGGCAGAGCTGTCACCCCAGCCCAGGTGTTTACTGGGGAGCCAGATGGACCACATGTGAGCCATGACTTTAGCCTAGACAAGACCTGTGTTTCTTTTCCCTTGGGCCCTTCTTGTGGGACTGGGCACAGAACTCCTCTAAGGTGGGAGGAGACTGTGCCCCTCTTTTCACGCTAGGCACTGCCTGGAAAAAGAAGGGCCAAGAGCAAGATCCCCTACAGAGAGAATGCAATGGAAGGACAAGATGCAAGAGTGTTTCATCTTCTTTATCATCACAGGAACATCCACTCTTTTGCACTGTGCCCTGGTTGTGGACTTGCCTTTACTAACACATGCCTCTTGGAGAAGTTACGACAGCTCGTGCCCTCCCTAAAGGCCAGAGTGGGTCACTGATAGTGGGCACTGGGAAGAAGGGCTTTTGGAGCTAGGAGGACACCCGGGGGCATAAATCATTCAGTAACTTACTATGGGCTGCCCTGGGCTAACAGTCATAAAGTCTGTTGCATCATCTCTTCTCTGTACATAAAAGCCCAGGCCCTGCTCCTGGACTCAGGAAAAGGAATGGACTTTTAGAATAGATTAAATAGACTTTTGTGGATAAATGTGAGGGCCTAATACCATTTATAGCACTTTTAAAAGTGAGAATATATATACTGACTGTAACAACTAATTTGTAGATTTTTGAAACACAGCCAAAGTGAACTTTGGGGGTGGTCTGTTTGCCAATGCCAAGAAAAACACCATGGTGGCACCTTCAGACCAGTGGGGATCCCGTGAGCCTACCTTCCTTTCCTAGAATCCCTATTGTCCAGGTAAGTTACAATTATGACTAAATGTACCATTTCATGACCCAAGAAGGAGACTAAGGGAATATGAATTGGTTCAATCACAATATGAACCAGAAATTAGAGGCAGAAACTCAGAGTAACGTGGTGTGAGAAGTCTCTGAAGCTCAGGTCCCGGGGATTAGGTCTTAAACCTTCATTGAGCCTTCACCCTCCCTCCCACTCTCCTTCCTCCCTTTTCCTTCCTTCTTTCCTTCCCTTTCCTGCTAAAATGAAAGGTGTGTTTCTCCTCTTGTCCATGATTAATTTCTTCACTCTGCCTGGATCTCATCCCTTCTTGCTTTCTCAGCGACATCACTCTATCAATCATCTCCTCTCTCAAATCTTTAATTTTCTCTCATCTGGAATGTCCCTATCAGCATTTAAATATCTCCCATCTTAAAACCCACTTCTTGACCCTTTATTATCTCCCTTTATTCTCATCCCATATCTTTCCTTCCCTCCACAGCCAACTCTCCATTTCGTCACCTCTGTCTTACTCCTCAGCTCACTGAAATTTGGCTTCTTTTGCCACCACTTGATCAAATTGCTATTGCCTAGGTCACCAGTAACCTCTAAGTCACCAGATCTAATGGACGCATTTTCCCCCTTATTTTTGCTTGATCATTCAGCAACTTTAAACAATGTGGACCACTCCTTCCTCCTTGAAACACTTTCTCCCTTGGGTAGAATGACAGGAGATTTTCTTCTTTCTTGTCTGATACCACATTATTCTCTCTTTGGTAGTGTACTTTAAATGTTCAAGCCTAATTTTTATGCTGCCTGCTCTACTCACTCTATATGTTTTCCCTGAGTGATCTTCACTCTTGTGGCTTCAATTTCCACATGCATGCCACCAGGACTGACACCATCTAATTTGTGGGGCCCAGTGCAAATGCAAGTATGGGGCCTCTTGTTCAAAAACTATTAAGAATTTCTGGATGGTGATAGCACAGCATTAAGCCAAGTGTAGGGCCCTTCTGAGCACGGTGGCCCTGTGTGACTGCACAGATTGCATGTCTATGAAGATAGCCGTGCAAGCTACTGACTTCAAATCTATGCCTTCAGCCTAAAAATTTCTCTTGACATTCAGAGCTGTATTTCCACTGGACGTCTCAACCCCTACGTCAATAGTTCCTCATCTTTCCCCTCATTTAGGTCAAGGGCAACTCTTCCCCCAGTTGCCGAACCAGGAGCCTGAGACTCAGACTTGGGCTTTCCCTCTCTCAGGCTTTTTCTCATTCTACCAAGGCCAGTCAAGTCCACCTCTGAATCTCTCTCAAAACTGACCATTCCTCCTCCCCACTGCCACTGTTGTCCAGGCCACCATCAGCTCTCTGCTGGGCATCTGCAGCAGCGTCCTAAATTGTCTTCCTGCTGCCTGCCTTCTCCTTTCCAAACTATTTTCCATTTTTTAAATCCAGAATGAGTTTTCAAAACTGTAAGTCTGATCACCTCACTCCGTGCCTGAAATTCTTCAAAGGCTTCTCATGACCTTTCAGGTGAAGTCCAAGTTCCTTAGTGGGCCTTGTGGTCTGTGTCCCCGCCTCCCTCTATCATTTCTCTTATGTGCTCCACTCTCTTGCATCTGAGCCCTCCTGCTCACTGTTGTCTTTGTCTGAAAAATCTCCCTTCATCTACTTTACTTCAGCTCATACTTCAGGTCTCTACTTTCATCAGTGTTTTTTCGGGAAGGCATTTCCTCCCTCTGGACTGGGTGAGCTCCCCTAGCAGGGCTCTCCTGGCAGAATCTCGCCCTTTCCAGTCCCATTTAACTGTAATGACTTCATCGTCTCTTTTCCTTCTGGTATGGAAACCGTTCTATTATCATTTTCTGCTGTATCCTTAGCACATGATCCTGTGCCTGACACATAGTGGGTGGTTAGTAAATACTTGCTGACTGAGTGAATTACTTACTTGTTGAAGTGTTCCAAGAAAATGAGGCTGGTGGAGGTGCCAATGATGGTAGTCAGGCCCCCAATGGTAGCAGCATAAGATATGCTCAGAGAAAGGCACTTGCAGATCATTTGGTCATGCTGGGACTTGTACTTTCTGTTGAGTTCCCGGTTCCTGGGCCCAGGGGTCAGGACTAGTGGCTTTTCCTACCAAAAGAAGATCAGTGAGTCTCTCCAACACAGCTTGAGCTGTCTGGCACTCAAAGCATGAAAAACAGGGGCCCCCTGGTGCAGTGGCAAGGCTCTGAGCTTGGGTGTCAGAAAGACAAGTCCCAACCCCAGTTCTGCCATTCACCAACTTGGGTGGCCCCACCAAGCTGCAGTTTCTTTTTGTGTAAAATAGAGAAAATCCTATTTTCTCTGCTAGACTCTTGTGAAGAGTAAATAAAGTAATATATGTAAAGCATTTAGAACACTTCTTGGCATTTAACAAATGGTAAGCTATTATTATTTTTGTTGTTATTAATATTAACAGATTGTTCTGTTTTTTGCTTGAACTCCAGTAAAACTGGCTCTTCTCCACTTTGTGTTTGAAGATCAAATAGAAGATGGTTGTTCTATCTGGAGTTAAAATGACAGTCCTGATTGGGAGATGACTGAAAAATAAGGCTTGGATTACAAAAGGAATCTACCTTTCATTGGGTAAGAGGGTCAATGTAGGAAGGAAAGGTCCTCCCTTCCTTCCTCACTTTTTCTTCCTTCTTGCCCATTGCCTTTCCTTCCCCTTGCACGTAAGCCTTGCCATGGTCCTTGCAGGCTCTTCTTGGTCCAGATGATGGCCTTTCAGGGTCAGAGGCTGCTGACCTCTGGTCATAAGTATGGACTAAAGAAGCAAGTGCCATCTGCCCCTCCAGGCCTGCCTCACCTCACTGAGTCTTCATGAGACTAGGAGCAGTCTGGCCCAAATGTCAGCAGGCCAGGTCATAGGAAAACCATGGGGAAGAGGCCACCTTGCCACATTTCTCAAAGCCCTGAACCACTGCCCCATCTTTCTAGGAGGGCCCAGGTAAGTCTGGACCCTTCCAAACCTTCCTGAAAGATTCATCAATTATCAGAACTGGAAGAGACTTCATAGATTCTCTGGTCCAGTGGTTTTCTACAGTCTTTTCTTCTAACGCAGTTTTGCATGGACCGCCAATATATAAAACATAAATGTAGTGTTTCATTGGCATACATCTATTTTGTAACTGAAAGCAGATACATATGGTCAGGGAGATGTGGACTTGAATCGAGAGGCTCCTCTCACTAGTTCTGAGGCCTTGGGCACGTGATGTCATCTCCCTGCCTCATCTGTAGAAATGGAGTTCAAAATTGCTACCTCATTGAGTCAAGACTAGAGAGAAAATGCTTAGCACAGTGCTTGGCATATAATAAGTGTTTAATAAAAGGTGGCAGTGATTTATGATGATGATGGATGTTAAATAATCGAGATTATTTTGATGATCACAAAAATTTGAAATCAAGGGTTATAAGTGATAGTTTCAATTTTATACCTTACAGCTTCAACATCTATCTTACTTCTGCATTTTATTTCAGTGATATAGTACCAGGAAAATCCTTATTTGCACAGCAAAGCAGTTGCCTTAAAATCTCAGAGTACTCAAAATATTTGCAATGTCCCTGAGGCACTTTTAAGGAATAGTTGAATACCTCTGATCTAGACCAATCCTCAGCTTTTATGCTTGAAGAAACTGGGGCTCAGACGGTAGAATGACTTGCTGAAGTCAACAGCGAGTTAGACATTTTATCTCCATGGCACACGCAGCCTGGACATGTATGTGGATAGAGTTCCTGGTGACAGCTCACTAGCCTGATGGCCTCACAACTTCAAGACCAGTGGCCCTTGGGAAGCTCAAGGCATTTCATGTAGGAAACAGGGTCAGGAGGTGCAACAGCATTACCTGGGATGGGAGCTGCTTCTTGCCCTGGTGGTGTGCAGTCTTGATGGGGTTGGTGATTGTGGGCACACCGTTCAGGTTCTGTCGGGACAAAGACCATCACACTATCAGGAAGAGGATGTGGTGGGGCTTAAGAAGTACCACCAATCGTCCCAGGGGCGCCCCACACCTCAGCACGGAGGGAATCAAAGACCAGAAGCCAGAGAAAGCGTGCAGTTGTGAGCGACCCCAACTGTGCCTGCCTCCATTTCACAGCTTCCCGTCCAGTTTGGGGTCAAGGACCCCATTGGAAGTGGCTTTTGAAACTTGGCAGAACATGGCTCTGTCCTTATAGAAGAGCTTGACTTTGGAATGTTATTAGCTAATGAAGAATCCTCCATTTTTTCCTTAACACAAAGAAAATGGAAAAAAAAAACCTCACCATAACAACGTCCACAGTTTGGACTGATTAAAGTCCATCTGTTTGGACTGGTGAAGAGATATAAAACCAGCTTTGGGGGCAGCAGTGTGTAGGTAAACTTTGCTTTCTCCTATAAATGTGTCCCTTTTTATTACACCATTTTTGCAAATGGAATCCCCACTGCAAGGAATCCTAAGGGTGAATCTGTGGCTGTTGAAAATCTGGGTGGCTGAGTATTGGATTTCCATGAAAAAAGGCGATCCTGTATGTGGCTAAACCCACTGGGGTTTAGAACTACCCAGGCCCTCATTAGGGGCCCGTCTAGTCTTCTTTATGTCCAGGCTCGTGTGAGCCCCTCTCTGTTCTCACATCAGTGGAGGCTGCTGGGCTCTAGGACAAGCTGCCAGGCATCTCTGTCCCTGAGTTATCTTGAGGGACTCTCAAGTGATCCCAAAGCACAGAAAGAACCCAAGGCCATACCTTGCTCTGCACCAGAGAAGTGAAGTCTGCAGTGGATGTGCTGGAACAAAGCAAAGGAAATGAGAGAACAAACAGTGGTCCAGACTTCCTGAGATGAGAATTCTCCCCACACATCAGTGTTTGGTATAGTGACCTCTCTAGGTTCTGGTGTTCCAGGCTGCAAAGAAGAGGAATCTCACCCTAGTCTTCCTCGCCTTCTGGACATGCTGTGAAGACTTGTGGGGACAGGGGCCTGCTCCTTCCTAAGGCCAGGGCAGCGCATTTCCTTTGAAGTGATACTGATAAGTATCCTAATAAGAGCTAACATGGAGTGCTTAGTAGGTGCTGAGTGCTCAAATATGGGCTTTAATCCTCAGGACACTGTTAATCCTCATAACAGATCGATGGTGCAGGTATCACTACCTACATTTACAGAGTAGGAAACCAGGCAGAGAGAGGTTACTAACTTCCTGAGGGCACCGGGGTGCTAAGTGGTGGCTCCGGATAGGAACCCGTCTCTGCCTGGACAGTCTGGGACCCTGACCACGTCTTCACTGGCTGACGGGGTCAAGGTCACTATCTAGAAAGAAAAATTTGAGAAAGGCTTATCTGAGCCCACAGGAGCAGGGAGGCCTCTGACTGCACGTGGTGAAGGGTGAGTGAGAGAAGATGGGGGGAATTTCTGATGAGAACCTGGACCTCAGGGTGTGGCAGTCAACCGCGTGCTGAGTCCCTCCCACACCTGCTGGTCTGTCCCAGTCTTTGCCTTGAATAGAGAGACGAAGGCGAGGATTTAACTGTCAGCATTACTGACTTGCACTGAGTACTACACTTCCATTGTGTCTTAGTTCTGAGGACAGTGGGTGCTACGAGCTCGCCCACTGTGAAGACAGAGGAGCGAGGTGCTGGACACACGTGCAAGGCCTGGGGTCCTGTGGCCATCACCCATCTCCAGCTACATCAGGGGAGGATAAGGGGTTGAAGGGGTTCACAGGGAAGCATTCTTTGGAGAGAGTCATTAGTCTAGGAGGAGTAGAGTGTTGTGACGTTTCCCATCCCTCCTTCCCAAGTCGGTGAGGAGGGCAGGCAAGGAGCCCCTCAGACAGCACGGGAGGAACTGGCCGCCCTGGAGAAGACTGCCATCCTCATGCCGCCAACAGCCCCGGCTCCCACCAGCACCTGGCTGAGAGAGTTCTGGGGACAACTGAGCTCTTGCTTTGGAGTTTGGGGCATGTACTTTTGTCTGGAGAAGAACAAAGAGACCAGTGGGTGCTGCCTGCGAGGCCAGAGTGAGGAGGAAAGAGCCCTGCAATGGGAGCAGCCTGTGCTTTCAGTGCTCAGCAGGGCAACGGTGCCGAGTCCTGTCATGGCTGGACGCACAGGAGGATAGCTGGGCTAAAGCCATCTTGAAAAGATGCAAGAGGCAGAGGCGACAGGAGCAAAGGGGATGTGGGCAGTGAGCCACCAGAGCCCAGAACCAAAGGGAGGCTCAGTGGTCCTCCCGGAACGCCTCACCACCACCATCAGGCCCTCGGCTATGCATACGTGGCCTCAAGGGGACACTCCAAAACCCTGAAGGTAGGTGCCCAACAAGTGAAAGAGCTGGGGTCTTAATCTCAGAGACGGCACCAACCCCACTCTGCAAGACCTCTGGCCCAGACCCTTTTTGCCCCTTTATCTTTCCTGCACCCTACAGCCTCTGCCCTAACCCTGGAGACTCAGAAGCAGCCGAGGCAGTTGTGGGCGGGAAGAGGAGAAGAGGGGGCGGAGGAAGAATGAAAGGGGAGGGGACTCTGTTTTACCTCTTATTCTGCAGACCTCGGCTGAAGGGGGTGGGTGTGAGCAGGAGAGGAGCGGGAGGAGCTTTGGATGAGAGACTGAAGCTTTGATGTGAGTCTGGACTAGACTGCTGAATATCTGAAAGTGAGATTTTTCTAATATCTGAAAGGAACCAGAAGAACTCTGGGATCTGCCTGAGATATCATCAAGGGCCAAGGAGGGAAATCCAATATGCTATGATTGAAGACAGTGGTGGGAAGAAAATAAAGGCATTTCCTGATGGCCCCCTGCTGCGTCCATCCCATTAGATAGGCTGGTTTCACTCAATGTGAATCCTCCATTTTTTATGAAAAGGCCAAATTGCAAAACTGAGCTCTATTACAAATCCGGCTTTTAAAGTGTAACATTCATCATGGTTCTCCTTGCAGACTACACCTTGACAAGATTTTCCATAAGAAATGAGCTGTTAAGATCTGTTTCACATGAATGTTTGAGATTGTATTTCTCATTTTTCAGCTTCTTTCCACCATCACATGACTGTCTCACCAGCTGTCCTCTAATCTCCTACCTGTCACCTAATTTTTCTTTGCTGTATCTAACAAGACCAAATCTACTAAGACCATATCTAATATGAATAAAATCCTTTGTGATTCTCTAAGAATCTCCAGTGACATCTGTTATGCGAGTATTCTTCCATTAATAGAGTAAACATATTATTCTCCTAAGAGGGACATCAATTTAGATGAAATTCTACTTGGGAGACGTATGGATAGTTGATGTACCCCTTCAGATTCAGTTGTAGTCATTTTATCTTTTCTCTCCTCACTGCAACACCCTGTGGGTAAGGGAGCTGCCCTCAAGATCTTGGCGAGTGGCTCCTGGGTGTGGAGGGGAAATTGAGGCAGGAGGAGGTGGTAATGTGGCAAGATGTGAGCTTGACCCATACATCTAAAAGAGCTGTTTAGGGGATCCGGTCCTAGCTTTCCTGACCCCTGGAATAGACTCAGAGAGGCTCTCTCTGGGAGGAGGGCAGTCATACTCACTCTTCATTGACAAAGATGAGTTCCAGAGAAGGTTGGCTGTTGTTTACCTCAAGACCTACAGTAGCAAAGGAAAGCAGGAAGTGAGATCCGGAGGCTGGAGCTTACCCTGTGAGTCACAGGGTAGTTCAGGGGCTCAGGGCCTAATGGGGAAACAAGGGCATGAAGGCTCCTGCTAGAGGTGTGGTGCATGACGACCCCCCTTCCCTCTGCTCTGAGGGCATGGCGGGCTCTTGGACACAGACAGGCCCAGGGTTTTGTCATAACCTTTGAGCGTTTGGGGAAAGGAGTAGTGGTGACCGCTGTAAGTGGGGGAGGAAGGAAGAGTGGGAATGGGGGCCACCGGCAAGATCAAGTTCCCAGGGCTGGTATGGGATAGAGGGGAGGGAAGGGGACACAGCGGAAGGTGAAGGGAGGGTCATAGGTGAGGGGGTGGTGGTGGGGGCACCGAGCTGGGCAGTGTCACAAGAGGAGGATGGAGGAGCAAAGGGTAGGTGAACTCCAGCAAACTGTACTGATGGGCTCAGCCTCTTCGGCGCTGGAGTTGCCGGCCACGAGCTGCTCCTCCTCAGCACTGACCAGCTCCTGCAGCACGGCCTCCACGATGGGCATCACCATGGCGGTGGTGGACGTGTTGGAGAGCCACATGGAGAGCAGCGTGGTGCAGCACATGAAGCAGAGCAGCAGCCTGGAAGGCAGGGAGGGCCGGTTGAGCATGGGCAGTGTGGCCATCTCCCAGGGCCCAACCGCCGACCTCTCAGAGCTCCTTCGAGGCCTCCTCCAGACCACATGGTGCTGGCCTAGAGAACTGTGCCTGGCATTTCTCCAGAAAATCAGGTTTCTATGTCATACAGGGCACCATTCGGCTTTGTACTCCCAGGGCTTGGCACAGAGTAAACATTAAATAAATATTTGTTGAATGAAGGAATCATACTTGATGGGCTACTGGCCTTAGCCAGAAAAAAGCCCTTACTCAAGCAAAGGATAGCTTTGGTAGGAGGCTCACAGGGTGTGGACTTACTGATTGCTTGTCTCTCCTGTGCACATTAGCTTGGTGATGGTGTGTGATTTTTGTGTATAAGGGAATTATTTTCTTTTCCCTTGCACCCAGCAGTTCCGTGAGTACCATTACATTCCTTGTTTTGCAGCCAAGCCACTGTCGTTATTAGTGACCAAATAGAGATGAACACATGGAACTCACAGTTCCGCCCACTACTCGTCCCACGGTCAATATGCTGAAAGTATAGCCCCCAAAGTCACAGAGGTGTCCCACAGCACTGTGTGCCTTTTTCGGCTGGTATCTTAAGAAGTCAACACTTGGAGGAACACACTCTCAAAGATAACTCTCAAGTGACTTCTCTTTGACTTTGAAAACATGCAATGTGTGTTTGTACAGACTCGGTTCTTATTTCCATGAGATAAGCCAACATAAAGACTACCTGTGTTTATTATTTTAGGTGGAATCATGGACTTTGCACAGTTTGAGGACAGCATACTTATCATGTGGATTGCGTCTGGGTAGGCCAGAGTCCTGATGGTGTTTTTGTTTAGGCTTACCATGACATGAGTTTGTCTGCCCCTGACTCGCAGGGCAAAGACAGCACCAGTGGGTGGAAGCTCGCTGGGGGATGATGTAAACAGAGATGAGTGGAAACTCAAGGGGATAAAAGTTCTTGAAGATAGTACACCGAGGTTTTAAAGAGCCACAGAGTCCCAACGCGATGTGAGGAAATGCCATTGTGTGCCCAGGAGGTTGAGTGTGGCGTACAAGATTACTACTGAGTGAGGGGGTGAATTACAATAAGCTCTAGTTAAGTGGGAGATGGGAACATCCTTTTAAGCATAACCTGTATTCATCTAAATGACTGATGTTGAAAACTAATACCATATTATTTATTTACACTATATGGGACTCCCGAAGGAGTCAGGGCAGCTTACATAAAATGTTGCAAGAAGGTTGTAAACTAGAAGGAGGTGAGATAGATATTCCAAACGGAAGATAAGAGTGGGCTATCCAACCAAGCAGAGGTGAAGTTAACACACAACTGTCATCTTGACTTTTCCACCCACCCTCTAAGGCTGGGAATCCCTCCGCTGGCCTTCAGCAGAGAGAAAAGAGGAAGCAGCGGAGGCCACGCGGTACATTGCTGACTCTGGGTCAAATGCAACGTGTCTAACAGGTCTATGGTCTGAATCAATGACAACAAAAACTCAAGGGAGGATGGGAGAGAACCTCCACATCTCCTTAAATGACAAAGGAGAAGACACCACTTCCGTGTCCAACTTGCTCCCTGATACACCGGAAAAAGGTTGGGAAACAATTTACGTTGGTCCATCTTGTTTTACCGAATGAGACCCTAGTATTTTGTAACCTGCTGCCCTTGCAGTCTGGGTTGCTCAGGTAAGTTATTTAGATTGTGACAGTCTAATCTGTCACCAGCCCTCTCACTGGAGGAGGAGGCCAGAGCCTGTGGCACTGGTGTCATCCCATCCCCACTGGTAGAAAAACAGCCTGAAGTGGATGTCCCCCTGTGGCCCAGGACCACTGTCCAGGTGGCCCACTGGGAGCTGTGGGGACGCACTACGGCCAGGCACTCCGAATGCAACTTACATGCCCGGCTTGGCTCCGGCCATGATGACCATGCGCAGAGCGATGCGCTTGTGCAGGTTCCACTTCTCCACGGCAGCCGCCACGCAGATGACGCCCACCAGCAGCAGCGTGGTGTTCTTGAAGTACTCGGCCGCCACCTGTGGGAGGCCAGCGCAAGTTACCCCCTACCCAACCCAGGGCCCAGTCCTGGTCGGGAGCATAGGCTGTGCCCAACACAACTCATTCTCAACCGGATGCTGGCAGACAAGCAGCCGGGAGATGAGGGCTATTAAAATAGCCAACTCGTTTATATATATATATATATATATATTAAAATGTTAAAAAATTTTTATATACACATCCATCCATCCTACCTTGGACAGGCACTGTGCTAAGCACTTCACAGAAATTATTTCATTTAATCCTGCCAGTAACCCGAGAGGGTAGATATCTTCTTCTCCACTTTTTAAAAGAAATATAAAAACACTCTGTAATTATGATATGAAAATGATTTCAAAGAATAAACATAGTTATAATTTTATCTTAATCCTAAAAAATTATTAAAATAACCTTGGATTTGTCCCCAGATCTCATTATTCTCTTTTTAGCTTTTGGGAAAATTATGTTCATTTGTTATTAGAAAGTTAATACATGTTCATTATGGAGAACTTCAAAATATAGACAAATTTAAAGATGAAATTACCCTTAATCTTCCTACTGTTAATACTTTGGTATATTTTCTTTAATAATTTTTTAATATCTATGTAGATACATAGTTGGATTTATACAATATGTACAGTTTTATATCCTGCTTTTTAAAATTTTACATCGTACACTGATCATTTTCTTAGGAGACTTAAATTTGTTGGAAAAAGCCATGTTAATGGCAGCATAACGTATCAAAGAATTTATTTGGCCATTTTCCTTTTGTTGAATATTTAGGTTGATTCCTTTCTCCCCCCTACTACAAATGGAGCAAAGAATAATTTTCTGCTTAATTGTTAACCTTATATAAATGTGATTATTTCCTTAGGATAAAGTTCTTGAAGGTGTCTTTATAACTTGCCTTAAACCTTAGAAAAAATTTTAAATTTAAAGGACTCCAAATAATTCCAAAGTTCCAAAGCGTTCCAAAATGATAATAGTACAAGGAACACCCATACACCCTCTTTATCTATATATATATTTTTTCTGACAAACATTTGAAGGTAAGTTACATACATTTTGGCCCTTTACCCCTAAATACTTCAGTGTATATTTCCTAAGAATAGGGTTTTCTCTTACACAACCACAGCACCAGTCATCAATTTCTTCCTGCTTTTGAATGATGAGGAAATTGAGCCATAGGCCTGTTAAAAAGACGTTTCGTGTGTTTGGGGTCCGCGGACCCGCTTTTCACTGATTCCCTCACTTGGAATGCTCTTCTCATTTCTGCTTGTGCAGACCCAGCAGACCTCAAAGCCCTGTTCAGGCCTGGTGCCCTCCAGAAAACCTTCCTTTGTGACTCTAGCCTCTGACTCCAGAACATTCCCTGTGGGCACCATTAATTCCACACCTCACAGAGCACTAGGCAATGCTTGAATTGTTGCTTCCTGATTGTATTGTTTATTTTTCATGTGTACCTCTCTCGTCTCTCAACTAAATTTTAGGCTGCAAAAGACCTTTCAAGATCTCTAAACACTGAGTAGAATGATATGCAAAAGAAGATGCGCAATAAATATTTGTCACATACGCGAGAATTGTTCCCCAAAATGCAACCATGACAGAAGTTGAGAGCAAAAGATATAGAAAAGTTTAACCTCTGATTTAGAAACCCTCTCAAATGAGAAAACAAGAACATTTTTAACTGCAGAAAAAATAAGAATTGAACAGGGAAGGAAACATATAGTGAAATATGTAGCATTTGAAATAAACAATATTTACATAATCATACTGTTAAACTTTGATTATGGAATTAACAAAAATGGTGATATTCGTATATTGCGAGGATGGAGGGAGGGGAACTGGGACATGTACCAGAACAAAAGCCTCATCTGGTGTAATTGGAAGCCAACTGAGAATGTCTAAAAGTGCTAACTCGAGAATTAATATAAGAATGTCAGGTAGGGATGCGGAGTTTAATACCAGCAGAAGCAGTTAACAAAGTTAAGAGTTGCTGACTCTAGGAGTGAGAGGTGGGACCCTGTGAGCGGTGCAGGGGGGAGGGGTGGGAAAGGAGACTGCTGGTTTTTCATTATCAGCTTTTCAGTATTATTTGATTTTTTTTTTTTAAAGATTTTCTTTTTTCCTTTTTCTCCCCAAAGCCCCCCGGTACATAGTTGTATATTCTTCGTTGTGGGTCCTTCTAGTTGTGGCATGTGAGACGCTGCCTCAGCGTGGTCTGATGAGCAGTGCCATGTCCGCGCCCAGGATTCGAACCAACGAAACACTGGGCCGCCTGCAGCGGAGCGCGCGAACTTAACCACTCCGCCACGGGGCCAGCCCCAGTATTATTTGATTTTTAAACTCTGCACATAACACTTTGCTAACGTAAAAGCCAAAATAAAGGCAACCTGCTCCATTTCCCCCTTCTCTCTTCCGCGCCAGGGAGATGTCGTTGCGTCCGGTTGACAAGGTTTGTGTAGCAGTGGAAGGATCATCTCTCTGTGACCATTTCCGAAGGAAGCACCCTCTGCTTGTGGTTAATCTAGTTTTGTTCCCAAGCCCAGTCCTCACTGTCAGTGTCACTAATGCTCCCGGAGGGCAGAGAAGGCCCCCTGCTCTGCTGGGCTTGTGGCTCTGGGGCAGAGTTCCCCTTGGGAGAGGCAGGAAGGCTGGGGGCTCTGACCGTGGGGGGAGACGCTGCCCCCTAGCGGGAGGTGGGAGAGCCGCTGGGATGCCTGAGGGCTACGGCTGAGCTGGGGCCTAGGACGTTTCTGGCTGCACCCTTACCTTCCCAGGCTTGTAGGAGGCAGCTCTGTAGCCGAAGCGGTGTTTTGATTTCCTCTGTCTACCAAGGAAGAAAACCCACAGAAGACATGGGACACGGTAGTCCTGGGTAACGGTCCCTCCCCTGGCCCCATGACTTGCAGCCCTCTGCAAAGCTTTTAGAGGCAGTGCTCAGCACGGTTACTTCCCCAGGGGACTGACCGACGACATTTTAGTTTTTGGCTCTTTGGTACGTGTCATAGGAGAATACTAGTTTGTGATGGCCTTTTAGGAGGCTCAGAGCCTACACGAGAGATGGGGCTACTTTCTCTGGGTTCCTTTCAAAGGGAAGGAGTGAGGAGCCAACATGTAAAGACTGCCCTAGACACGCCAGGAATTCTGCATTTTGCATTCGCTATCTCCCTTGAGACCCACAACAGTCCTAGGAGGCAGGTACTGTTAATATCTCACTTCGCAGATGAGGAAATAGACTCAGAGAGGTTACAGAAGGTTTCCAAGGTCACAGTGTGAGGGATGGAGTCAGGATATCAATCCAGGTCCATCTGAATCCAAAGCTACTAGACAACATGCCACTCAGGATGGGCTAATTGGAAACCAGGCATCGCATTCAACTCTAGGGGAATTTTCTTGGTCTCCCAGACAGCATGGGCCAGCACACATTCCTCACCTTCATTCATAATCACAGTCCTGACACTGGCCCTAAATACCTGGGCCTGGGATGCTGTAAGCCCTAGGCCCAGCTTTAGCGGGATCTTGGCCCTGTGCTGTTTTCTTATTTGGTGTTTGGTGGGCTCAGGTCTATTCACGTGCCCTCCCGGCCCCCTTGTAAGTGATGCCATGTGCTTGGGCAATGCAGCCTGGGTGTAGTTTGTGATAACGAGGGAGCACAGTCAAATGGGAAAGAGTGTGGACTCTGGAGTCAGCCAGGACTCAGCTGTGTGACCCTGGGCAAGTTATTCAACCTCTCTGGGCTTCACTTTTCTCATCTAAAAAAAAAATGAGGGGGAGGGGCTGGCCCCGTGGCCGAGTGGTTAAGTTCGCGCACTCCGCTGCAGGCGGCCCAGTGTTTCATTGGTTTGAATCCTGGGCGTGGACATGGCACTGCTCATCAAACCACGCTGAGGCAGCGTCCCACATATCACAACTACAAAGACCCACAACGAAGAATATACAACTATGTACTGGGGGGCTTTGGGGAGAAAAAGGAAAAAAAATAAAGAATAAAATCTTTAAAAAAAAAAAAAAATGAGGGGGCTGGCCCCGTGGCTGAGTGGTTAAGTTTGTGCGCTCCACTGCGGTGGCCCAGGGTTCGGATCCTGGGCGCGGACATGGCACCGCTCGTCAGGCCACGTTGAGGTGGTGTCCCATATGCCACAACTAGGAGGACCTGCAACTAAGATATACAACTATGTACCAGGGGGGATTGGGGGAGATAAAGCAGAAAAAAAAAAAAAAAAAAGATTGGCCACAGTTGTTAGCTCAGGAGCGAAACTTTAAAAAAAAACGATAAAAAAAAATTTAAAAAAAGGAGGATTATGCGAGTCCCTACCTTTTGTAAGGCTGTTGTGAAGCTTAAATGACACATACAAACCAGCTGGCATGGCCTGCCACGTTGACAGCCAGGATTCCTGGTGGCTCTTCCTGTTACCAAGTGGTCCACACAAAGGCTGAACTGGTCTGAGGCCATTAGCATGCAGAGAGGGCCCAGGCACAAGGCTGCCTTTTTCCCTTTAAAAATAAAATCCCGTCCACTGGGGGTGTTTGTTAGTTTTCTAGCCCATTGATTTTTCTTTTACAATAAAACCTTGGTTATTCAGAACCCCTCTGGGAACACCAGAGTTCCAGCGTTCCGGAGGATTATTTTAATCGTTTTCTGAAACGTGTTGCATACTCAGGCTTGCTGTGAGGGTCCCTTTCCTCGCTGTCTCATTTCCGAGACTAATATTCTGTGAGTTGGAAAACTAGATAATGAAGCTTGTTAGCGCGTCGATTTTGTGATATATGCATTTTTTATGGCCTTTCTGTTTTTCCATTCTGTGGTTTCCTGAGCTTGGAGAGCAGAGGTGTTTCTGGACTGTGGTTTGAAGAGATGGGCTCGAGGAGGTTGCTGTGAAAAGGTGGAGCAGAGAATGGCAACAGTTTGGGCTCTGAGTTCTGACTACCTGGGTTAAATCGCTGCCTCGCAGATGAGCTGTGTGCTCTGGGACAAACCACTGAGCCCCTGTGGCCC